ATATATAATTATATGTACAGTACCTAATTTATATATAATACTGTACAGACGATAGCAAACTCAATTTAGCCGCTCCGTAGCGTGGCGCAGGGCAGAGGAAAGTAGTTCGGCTGCTCATCCACTATTGGTCCAGATTCTATCAATCTTGTCGCGACACGAGTCGACGACGACGTTGTAGGAGTTCCTTTATACGAATATTGCTACAATTTTTTCGCTACGTTATAGGAATTTTCGTTATAGGAACCCACGTTATAGGGGGGTCGACTGTATAATAGAAAATTTAAAGAAAGTATCTCAGTCTTAACAGCCAAAAATTGTATCAACAAAAATTTAAGTGTAAAAATAAATAAGAATTGAATGAAAATATTATAATATACGCAATATACATTAATGTCAATTGTAATTATCTATAAGAGTTATGCTGTTGTTAATATTAATAATAACATCCTTTGTAATATGCAAATCAATACAACACTGCAATGCAGTATGTAACGCAGGAACGGTTAAAAAACAATAATGTAAAACATTGTCTATTTCTATTTTGAGATGTGTATGTGATTATGTCTAAGACTCCTGGATATTGTCAAATATATGAAAGATCATTCATAACAAATTTTAATGAAATTACTCCACTTATTGTAAAATAAGTTGTGCGCGCCAATTAAGACCTTCTATGTATAACAGATTAAAAATGGATATGGTAAGAAATATACATTAGTTTAATTCTGTTTTGTAAGATATGTCTTCACTTTTCGCCATGTCCAATCACGAAAAACAACAGTTTTTTTCAAAACAATGAAATGATATTTTTAACAAAGCTTATCTGAGACATGACTTTTTTCTCAGTATACACCAAGATACAAATATAATGAAATTTGTTTTTCATTGATTGTTGCTTTTGTGTATAAAATTTGATATATATATATATATACCGTATATACTATATTTGAAATGATTTATTTTTTGTTTTCATTACAGAAAAGTATTGTCAGTTTTAAACTCAAACATCAGATTCATGATATACGACATCACTCCATGTTTCACATTACAAAATAAAAGTGAGTCTAAAATTGTTTTAAATGTAAATAAGATATTTACCTGCAGTTGTAGTCTCCTGTTTACTGACAGAAATTGTTGTTTATTTAATTTGTCTAAAGTATTATCATCCCTTTCTTCAATTGTTTCTTCTTTCACGGAAGACTCTACTAGAACTATATTAAAAATATATATATTATAGGTCACGACATGTTAAAATAATTATTTTTATGTCATATTTAACATTCCTGGCAAAAACAGATAGCATTGAACACACAAGATTTTCAATAACAGCCAATTTACAAAACACCGAGAAAACTTTAACGAAACAGTAATCTTTATTTCAGATGAAAACGAGAACTAGTTCAGCAACTAATTATAATCTTACCATGGGCAAACTAAACGTTGTAGGGATAGCATTTCATTTTAGAAGTTTCCTACCGTGAGATTCTTCAAAATGAAGTTTAACCACAAATAATTTAATGTAAGTTCACGTATACATTTCATAGACAGTACCTATACAAAAATACGTGACGTATACTAACCTCACACAGTTTAAAATGTTCAGTTGTATGCTACTTATCCCTTCTGCAGTTCTGCAAGCATTTTTGCCTTTTCTGTTTATCTGCAGGAAATCTAAATAATCGAACATCTATAGATTTACTCTTACAATTTGGTGCCACACAATAACCCATTATGTAAGGTTTTGAATATTAAGGTTTACAGGTGATCCTCTTAGTCATTGTCCCCACGGAATGAGGTTCAGTACTTACGACAAAGACAACGATCTCATAATTATGAACGGTGTCGATATGTATAAAGTTTGATGGTGGTTTGGTTCTTGTTTATATTCCAACGTCATTAAAATTTATAAGTGATTTCCTACGTTCGGGCACATATGGAGTTACGTGGTATCATTGGGAAGGTTCGTACTACTCATTGCCAAAAGTTGAGCCGAAAATACGTCCTGTTAAGAAATAGTTGTATCAATATAGCTGCGTGAAAATAAAAACGTCTTTACTCTTTGAACTGCTCCATTGTTAATTTTGTTATTTATGTTACCTTTATCTTAAAAAAAACAAAATTTACATTTATTTCAATTTTCCGGATTGTATAAATTTATATTACATTTCATCATTTACAGCTAAAATAATTATTTAAATATCTGAAAGCTCTAATACTGTATATTGGCGCTTCTTTTCCCCACTTTCCTTTGTCAACAAATGTAATTTTCTGTTTATAATTTCCAAGGAAAAGTAACATTATTCAAACAAAGTAAAAAATAATTAATTTTGCCAAAAAGTATTTTTATTTTCGTTCATATTATAGATACCGTGCTTCTAAATTATGTATATAAAAACTTTTTAAGGTCATAAGCATATTTAAAAGTAATATAGATTTATCAAAAAGAAAGTTTATTTCAGTGACTGTGGAGCTACAGTTCATTCTGCTCCTTTTCAGGAACTTTAAAATTCATTTAATTTAGTTCCACCAAATTTTTAGTTTCGTTTTGCATATATCTGTTTTGCTTGACCGTAAATGTTTTAGAATGGATTAATACTACAGTTCACGTATTAATACGCGTGATCAGTTCATTTGATATACGAGTGCGACTATCACAGATTCGTTAGAATTCTTACTATCTGTGACGTCAAAGCACTCAATTATTAAGCATTAACAATCGCTTCACTATGTAAACATAAATTATTGAACTGAATATACTTAGAATAAGAAGAATTTCATATTTATCTGATAAAAACGTAAAGAGTAAACAAGTATTTCTTATCAAAACTCGTTGAAATACTTATATACACACTACCACTACTACAGTGTTTCCACACGGCACTAACAGCCTTCTACACCAGACGTAATCGCTTCGTATTGTTTATGTTAGCTCTACTAAACACGGTCACTCGTAGTTTTGTACAGATGTACAAATCTACTCGAAAGTTTTAGAGCTGACTCGAAATTTCAAAAAAGGTGTAATTGTTTAAGGCATAAAAGCTAACATGACTGCCGCAATTTCGTTGTGGGGAATTGTTTTCCTTTCCTCCCAACTTCGGATATCTTGGACAGAAAGTACTACATGTGTGAGTGATGACGTGTTCACAAAACTCAAAGAAGTAGACAAACTCATCCATCAGAGTAAGTTTTCTAAGCTATTTTCTAATTCAGTTAATTAATTTTGTATATTAATTTCTTACATTTATCAGTCATAGGATTTCCTCCGGAAATAAGACAAATACCGACGGATTGTACCGATATTAAAAATCAGGGGATTGAAAAGTCTGGCATTTATGAAATACGAGTTATGAAAAATGAAACAACACCTTTTTGTTTCAAAGTGTATTGCGATATGAAAACAGATGGCGGCGGATGGACGGCGAGTACAAATAAACACTTGTGTTATTATCACTTTGCCTAATAGCGATAAACGCTTAATTTCCCAATTAAAGTATACATTCGATTATTCGAGTTAACGACATGGAGAACATGCACAGGAAATCAAAAAGTTATTTCTTAGAAGGAAATAGTTTGGACACTGTTCATCAGAAGCTTTATTTCACAATTTTTACTTTCCCGTCTATGTTCTATACAACAGAAGGAAAGTATGACGTTCGGTAAAACAAAATATGACCTCTCCCTATAATTTGAAACTTTTGGATCTATGAAATTTTGAAACGTCTAGTAATGCAAAGATATTCTAGAATTTTTTTTCTGTGTATAATCCATACACAGAAGTTGTATGAGTAGTGTGTAGGGGGAGGTTTTTGTTCATCCTGTTTGAAGCTTAATTAATGAGTTTTGTACATTTTGTCGAAACTATGAAATTTTGCGTGATTTGTGTTAGGGGGGGATTGACGTTATTAACCCATTCCTACTCTGAAAATTAAGCTGTTTGCCATTTTATAACAATTAAAACTATAAAAAAATTTTCAATAAAATATCATAACAGATGGCGCCATACACACACAGTTTTAAATGTTGCCGAAAAGTTAAGCGACTTTTTTGCTGGATTTCTTTTATACAAAAGCCATCGTTTGATTACACAAAATTTTTTCAACAAACACTTTTTGTGTTTGGCTAATTATATATATAAAAAGAATGTTGCATGGTAATCCGCGCAAACGGTAGTGCACAAAATTTTCCGAAAAAATTGTCTTTTTATGTGCAAATAAAGTAATCGAACCTAGACAAGAGACGACCCCGTGTGTATGGTGAAGGACTGTCCTGTTTTTTCATTGTAAATACATCTGTAAAACTCGATTACGTAAAATATATTCGACTCGAGTACGACATTTAAAAAAATCAGATAGCAGAAAAACCGCAATACTTTATAGAAATGTTTAAAATCTGTTAACAAATATTGTTAATTACTTAACTAATTTGGTGTTATTACGTTTAAACTAATTATATTTAAAGGTATTCCAAAGAAGAGGAGATTTTGAACAACCTGTTTCCTATTTCTATAAAAATTGGAAAAGTTATGCGGAAGGATTCGGAAAACTGGACGAAGATTTTTGGTTAGGTAATCAATTTTAATTACACATGTTTATTCACGATTTATTCAAATTTTAGCTGGTGAAACAATTTTACTCAATACACGAATGCATATTTTAGGCAATGAAAAATTATATTATTTAACAAATCAAGGAAACTATTCTCTCAGGATTGATATGAAAGACAAAAAAGATAATACTTCATACGCCGAATACGGAAAATTCAGAATTGAAAACGAACAAAATTTGTACAAGTTACATGTAAGGAATTATAGTGGTGTAGCTGGTAAGTTAAAGTTTACTTAACACTTTATTGACATAATTAATAATTTAAAAAGTTATTCAAAGTATACTTTGCAATTATAATAAATTAAATTTGATATATCATTATGTAATTAATACATACACTTTTCAAAAATGAAATGGCAATACCACGAAAGAATGCAAATAGCCCAACCAACTACAATATACTACATACAGCTGCTATGACCTTAGTTACAGCGGTCTGTGGCAACGATGGGTACTATCACTCTTACACAATGAGTTAGATTATAACTCGTTATATTACACAACACGAATGCCACGTCCCCTTGACTAAAAATAAAATTGCGGACGTGTATTTAATGATTTCAAATATGGAGTTGCTTCAGGCACATATTTGGTACGAGTGACAGAGTTATGCAAATGATTAAGTGAACAAAGAAAGATATGCAACAGACACTTGTTTATTTAGTAACGATATGATTTTCGCGAAAGAACTTAATTTTTAGTGTACTCTGGGTTTTATAAAAAATTGTAAATGCTAATAACGAGAAAACTCCTAATTAAGTCAGACACTACTCGACATATGACACTCGACTCCATTTGTCACTTTATCACATAGTCCAAAAATGTAAAAACTTGGGGTAATTTTTAACAGATCACCATACTTTTCCTCTGCTACATATTACAGTACATAGACAGAAAAAGTCGGAATTTGATTGATTGTGTACAGCAGCACAATACATGGGTGATCTGCCAAAAAGAATCTGTCTTCCAGGAGGACATTTTATGGGAAACTGACTCTTATTCAGGTATTACTAACATGAAGAAAGCGTAGAATACGCCACGTGACCAGCCCTTTAGCGAAACGCAATAAGACAACTATAATAACATCAATAAACAAATCTAATAATAGATTTATCGTGCAATAAAAGCTATCTATATATTTTATAAGAAATAGATTAAGGTCATTAAGTAGAATGCGTTTTATTTCCAACGTACAATTGAAGAACATTTTGTTACTAAAGCTTCTGATTGATTATAAATGCTTAAAATAAAAATGTTTATTTTAAGTTGGTTAAATAAATATGATTTTGGGGTCATGATTTTAGTTAGAAAGGTAACAGTGGTAATTTAAAATGTAATTCTTATTTGGAGAACTAAAAAAAACAAAAAATTTTGGATCAATCTCGAGAATATTTGTGTAATTTTTACCAAAATTATTCTGGGTATTGTCATATATCAGTGTAATATAATTCGTTGTTTTTAATTGTTTAAAGTTCAAACAATATTGATCTAATTATAAAATCTCTTTCGTAAGTAAATTTAGATCATTTTAAGACACGTTCTTACTGTTGATGCGAAGAAGTTGCACTCAATAAAATTTATAATGTATTTCTTTTAGACCATGGTATAATTATATTAAATAAGAATCTACTCAAGTGGGATAGACAATAATAAGGACTTATCACATCAATAAGAATAAACACAAACACTGAGGTATCAATATACAGTAGATACCACCTATAACACTGCTGATAATTCCGTTTTATATAAATTACATGTTTTACCAGTCACTTAGATTTTAGAAATACGTGTGCCGGGCTGTGAACGGCTCACTTGAATACCAAAACCGCCGCAAATTTTACGCATGGACGATGCGGTATTAGAAGCGGCATTAATAATTCATCTGAGGTCTAGTAGCGTAAGCTTTGAAAGACATCCACTTCTAAGCTTTGGTCCATAATTCGCAGGATTTGAAAAAATAATGCTTAACGACCTTTTTCGAACGTTTGATGCTGTTTGCTACTGCCTGGTGACTTAAACCAGTGCTTCTCAAAGCTACAATTTGTCCTGTCTTAATGTCTGTTAAATGGGTACCACGAGGCATGATAAAAAATACTTTCACACTCGAAACTTGCTAGAAAAATGGCGATTCTATACTTATGTGGCAGTATATAAATTGACTTCCTCGCTATTTCGCAGTCAGCAACGAATTAGTTTTTTAAAAGTAAGTTTTTAAAAGTTAGATGCTGAATTACACGTAAAAAATCTATTTCTATCTATTATGTTCTAACCGTAAAAGACCAATTTTTTGAGTAGTTCTATACTGTACTTTGTGGAGCACTTTAATAACCTTTATATTTTATACCAACTTAAGATAAACTACTTTCAACAGTCCGAAATGCATTTTGGTTATTTATGTTAATTACTTATACTTGTGTAATCGATTTTAACTGTACACCCCTTTTGTTTTATTAAATGTACTACATTGATACCTTAGTGTTTGTGTTTATAATCACTGGTGTGATAAGTCATTATTATTATCTACACCACATTAATAGTTATTTATTTAATAAAAATTAGCTTCTTTTGCTTCGGCGCTTTGAGTCTTTCTATTCCATTTCGTCTTATTCAAAGCAACTTCAGCAGAGACATCGTATCCCGCCATATTACGTTTAAGGGCCTTATTCCAAGTGCAGTATTTATAGTTCTTTCACATTTTGGCCCTTCCATTCAAATGTCTAGCATTTTTCCTACTGGAGCTATTTCTGATTGGCTTTGCAAATGCCGAAGCCACCTTTGTCGACATTCCTTCAAATTTTTATCTGACTTTGTGATGCCCAAGCTTCTCCTGGTGTAACTGTTTGCAATTTGTACAGCAATACCTCGACTTACGCTATCCCGACTTACGCGAACCCGGAGTTACGCAGTTTTCAAATCTCGTCGATTCGTCTTTTGTTTTAGCGCCACGCAGCTCTTGATTAGGGGAAATACGGACAAAATGACATACGGTTTTATTTTAGGTTCATAACGCTTTATTGGTAAATCACAGCACTGTCATATTCTACACCAATCATCTTTGGTTTTTTACCTATGAAATATACTAAACATTTACAATATTAAAATAATAGGAAAAAAATATTGTTAGTTTAATCGAGATCATCCACTATGGACAAAATGACATATACTATGGACAAAATGACATACACGTAAAAACTATAAAATTACTGACAAAGTTCACAAATAAAATGCTTGGTTCTTTTAGAAACGTCAGCGCAAGAAGCATGAGCCCAACAGAAACAATTTAAGCACTGTAACCAGTCTCCTCCAGGCTTAAATCGGGGAAAAAAATCATCGCAATATATGCGTGGACAGTCTTCTTCATCATCATGAGAGTTATCAGGAAAATTTTCTTCTTCAAGTAACTTTTTAGTAATATTTCGTTTCCTTTTCTCTGGCGGAGCTTTGGACACATTTTTTTGATTTAATTGCCTTCATATTAGGAGTAGAAGTTAAAACTAAAGAGGTTTGTCGAGTCACGTGATTCGTTGCAAGTTTTTTGTTATGTGAAAGATAATAAGTTTGTAAATAATATGTAAGAAAGGAAATAAAGTTTTATACTAAAATTTCTTTTAAACAATAATGAAAGACTTTGTTTGGAAGACATTTTTGATAATTAATAAAACGTTAAGAGATTAAGGTAAGTTCCTTGACTAAGCTCTTATGGACTAAATGACAGGTATGTCATTATGTCCGTTGTCTATGTATGTCGTTTTGTCCATATAACGTTATAAAAAAACAAAATTATAAAATAAATACAAAGATGTTATTTTTAATGGAAAAAGTTATTTAAGTGCAACAACAAATTCTTGAGGGTTGAAATAAATGTTACACAAATAGATAAAATAGTGAAAAAATTACCATCTATACAAAAAACTTGTTGCAAGGAAAAAAACTCATAACGTATCATTTCTTGTTGTCGGCCATGACACCCGGGCGTATGAGAGGAGTGCGTTCACATTTTGACAGGTTAGTAAGAGCCGCTCGGATAACGTTGTGTCATGGTCAGTTGCGAGCTTGAGACCGCCAAATTCGAATTATGTTGCCTATGTCATTTTGTACGTATATGTCATTTTGTCCGTATTTCCCCTACTCACTCCCCCCACACTATTGTTCAGCTTACATGTTCGGATGTGTCGCGCGGAATCGACGCATAGTTACAAATTATTTTGTGTTATTTATTTCTCTGTTTGTTATATCTACAGAGACTTGAGAGACTATATGGTGATTTCCTGTAACCGTGAACGAATCAAAAGACTAGATAAGATTAACGAGAACATTTATTAGCTTACATACATCCGACTTGGATTTTACACAAATTACGAAATTATACCCGACTTACGCGAATTCGACTTACGTGGTTATCGCTCGATCCCACCTATCGCGTAAGTTCGGAGTATCACTGTATTTAATATTTATTATAATAATAAGTAACGCTTCCAGCCTACGACTTTAATTTAGATTGAATTAGTTATCCTAATAAATAGGGTTGTATTAAATTGGAGGACTTATCACATCAGGGCTGACTGAAATAAATAGACTAGATTTTACAAAAAAAAAGCCTTTAATATCCCAATTAAATTTTGGTAAAAATGCATTTTGAGTACAAAGAACCCTCATCAGCTTAAATACATTACAACACCGGCATACATTAATACAGTCATGAGTACAAACATACATACATTAATAATTAATAAACATATGACCTTTTTCTTTTAGTTTACTACTTGTGTTATGATTGTATTAAGGTATGATGGTGTTGTACTGTATGTATGTAAGTAAGCCTTATTTATTAGGACAACTAATTCAATTTAATATTTATTATATGACTTGTTTATTTTATTGTAACATCGGTATTTCGTAATCTCTTTGTTTTTCTACACATTGCCTGATAGTGCCTATCAAACATAAACTTATATATTTCTTAGTAGAATTGAATCGAATTGAAATTGAATTCTTCTTCATTTTATGTTTTTATACGACATCACTCACCTCTCTTAGCATCTGTATTTCTGTAACATGCATTCTCTGTACCTGTACTTTCTTCACTGCTCAGCACCTCAAAACCGTACAACTTTGCAAGCCTATTAACCAATTCATAAATTTTTCTTTTAATTTTGGAGTCATTATTTTCTCACAATGTACTGTACTTCACTAGCCCTATCCATTTAGTCCAACAAGTACTTTATCCACACTTTTTGAAATATTACATTAATAAATTTAGTCATTTAATTTAACATTAGCATTTTCAACACGAAGTTTTGAATGTCATTTATATTACGTGAATGTCAATTAACGCGGTTTTTTATTAATTAATTTGATTTTGATTCGACTGCGGTGCGTACCAATAAACTAAAGTTATATCCTTCTCTCATGCACACTAAAATGTAACTTAAATAGAAACGCCATCGATGAGTTGTCGTGAATGTCTAATGACGCAAAGCGAAAAAAGGGCTATAGGAACTTACGATGTATAATTTAATATAGAACGGCAGATATCGAGATCAATGTTCACCTCATGTTAAGCAAATGAGAAAATTTTGCATCGTAAAATCGTAAACAAATCTGACAATCGAAATACGGCAAAACCCTTGCCATAACATTGGACCCACCTTTTTCATTTGAAAGACTCAAGCAAATTTCTAAGAAAAGTGGGTTACAAAAAAAAGAAAAGAAGTAAACTGCGTGGACTACTTGGTACAGGTAAAATTTTTTGTACCTGTTAAAATAAAGGTAAGTAAAAATAAAGCTTCATTACCAATTCCATAAACCTTATTATGTAAGAAAAAAGTTTTAGAAGAGAGGTGAGAATCGGCTACTTATCTAACTAACTACACGTGATCTAACTTGAGTTCACAAACCTTCGCTGCGCATCAGTCAGGGACGAAGTTCTGTTATCATAAAATCACTACATCCTTCAACATCCTTCAACGTCATAATCGTTACTGTATTAGTATATTATAAATTACTGTTTGGCAAATTTCTTAAATTATAAAAGTTAATTATGATTACGCCATTAAATATTTTATAAAAATAATATTTTTAAAAATATTATTACAATGAAAATTAAACTAATAATTAAAACGCTTCTTTCTTCTATATTACAGGAGATAGTCTTTTATATCACACCAACATGTTTTTCACTACATTTGACAGAGATAACGATAAATCAAATACTACTAATTGCGCCCAAAAGTACGAAGGTGCATGGTGGTATAACGAATGCCACTTTTCCAATTTAAACGGATTATATTTGAATGGCAAGAACGAACTGAGAGGAAAAGGCATAATATGGTACACTTGGAAAGATTTCTATTATTCACTACCCGTTGTTGAAATGAAGATTCGTCGTGCATAAAATTAACTATGTTTGTATAAAAATATTAAATATGAAAATAAGAAATGTATGTTGTACATATAAAGCCTTCTATTCAAATAACAATTCAGTAATATATATATATATATATATTACATTTGCTATTTTCTCCTCTCATCCTAGAAAGCAATAGAAGTACTTTTTAACCGTTCATATCCAAGCCCTGTATCTCCCATCCATGAAGAAGGTTCCCGTTTTTACCTGAAGGGCGTGCTGTTGAAGATATAAGGGCTGAAAGATTCGCCTTCTATAAATTTCTAGAACAGTCCAGAACATTCCAGAGTATTCGAGAGCATTCCACAACATTCCAGAATATTCCGGGATGTTCTGGAACGTTCGGGAACAACCCGAAATATCTCAGATCATAATGGAACATTCCAGAACTCTCGAATGTTGTGGAATGTTCTGGAACATTGTGGACCATTCGAAGCGTTTTTTCGTATGGGAGGGACTACTTATTGGTGGGGGTATATAAAACAAGATCTGTCGTGGGTTCGAACGTCAGTTTCTTATCAGTAACGAAGGGAAAAACCGAAAATGAAGTGAAAATTCCAAAGTAGTGCAGTCAGTGAATAAAAACGAACAGTGAAGTGTGAGTAGTCAAAGAGATACAGTGACTGAATATAAATCGAAAATAAAGTGTGAAAACTGTGTAAGTGCACTTATTGTATTTGTTAATAAAAAGTCGATTCGATTCGTATATTATACAATGCCTGAACTTAAAAGAGTAGGAGCTCGTTTTAGTTCTGAATTTTGTTTTGAATATTACCGGGAATTTTCTTCTGAATATTAAAGTTGATATCATCGACAATATGATTTTTAGTTGCCAAAATTGCCATTTGAAATAGCCCCTCCGAATAATAAGAAGCGCAGAGCTCAAACGGTTAGAATTTGAAAGTTGAAGTTTGGTACACTGTTAGGGTGCGTTACGAAAACGTACACTAAGAAGGGATTTTTTGAAATTCCCCCGTGGAAACAGGTTGTTAACAATGAAAGTGTTAACAATGGAAGTGGTTAAGTAACAATTGAAGTGTTAAGAGAAAGCGACGTGCAAGATTTACAGGCGCAGATGCCAGTTTTTGCGTTTTTGAGAGAAATGGAAGATATTTTTAGACCCATCTAAACATTTTTTAATTAGTCTGGAGACAAAGCAACCTAATTCTTGCATTCTGAGAAAACGGGTAAGATTAGCTATAATGTAATAATCTTAATCTTCGCTACTGTTACTTTTTTCCCGGGCAACGGCGGGCTCATTCATTACCTAGTTATTTATAATTTTAATTGGATATATTATGTTGTTTTAAAAGGACTTTTTCGTAACTTCTGGCGTCATGTAGCCTAGAAAGTAAGGTCAATCGCCAAGAACGTGTATAGTCTTGGAACTCATAGAAAATACATGGATTCCTTTTAGAGAGACTTTGTCTTCAGTTTTATTAAACTAATTGTAATCAAAACTCCAATTATTGTTACTGTTATATACAATTAAACAGTCACATTTAAGATTCGTTTTCGTGCGATCGGCTTATAATTGTGACTTATAATGTACAATCATTACGCGCTTTAACCAGTGCTTTAAAAGTTAACTTATTAATTTTATATTATTAATAACAGATGAGTTTGGGTTATTATAATAATTTTATTATTACAATTATCAATTTGTGGTCGAAATAAGATTTTATTATATTCGAGAAACGTTATGGTTTATTGATAATACGCGAATACATTAGATTATTTTAAAATTGCGACATGTTTATGAAACACGTGTTTCATTAAGTAATTCGTGTAAACAGACTTTAGCTGATTTCGATTGTATTAGGAGATTAAATCCATATTTAATTTAAACATTTAAATGGTGGAAATATTACCTTAGTTATCGACAAACAATAAATTGTGCAGCATTATTGCTGTAGGATTTATTCTTATAGTTAATATACAATTGAGCGACAAAGAAAATGTTAGAAAAATCAGTAATAAATATTCTGAACAATAAAAGTAAATCTAGCATTGTGCAGGTTTATATGTTAGATTCTCTATTCTAATTCTTATTGTAAATACAGAACGGAACAATTACCAAACGAATCAATAGTAGGAAACTTCACGTACAACATCGTATTTCAAACAGGACACATCGGTTAAATCCTGCTCGATTAAATCACACGATCATATGCGCAGAATCACTACATCGAACCTCTCTACTAACTACAACATCAAAGAACGATGAACAATAACAACAGAAATATTTGTAACTAGCAGATAAGCCTGGCGTTGCTCAGGCAAAAAGTAACGATAGCGAAAATTAAGACTATTACATTATAGAGAATGTTACCATTTACACAGAATGCAAAAATTACGTCTTTTTGTTTCCAGACTAATTTAAGAATTTTTAATTGAATCTAAACATATGTCGATTTCTCACAAAACCGCAAAAAAACGCATCTGCACCTGTAAATCTTGCACGTCGCTACATCTTTACACTTTCATGTTAACACTTTCGTTGTTAAGAAATACACTTCTTTCCTCCCCACTATTCGCGGTTTTCATGAACTATAGAGGGCGCTGCATTTTTACAAAATGGCTACTTTATCTGGGTCGCTTATAACTAGTAATGTCCGATATAATGATATATGCTGCCTGTAGCTGTTTATCGATAAATTATATAGAAGGAGAACAATTATTGTTAGCGGGACACGTCATTATGTGGCATCGAAACAAATGAGTGAGATCGTTCTATACATATTTGTGCCCTATGTGTTAAAAAAACATCAGCTTTGACATTGTCCCATCACAGCCGGATTTACAAGTAAAAAGCCTCGACTTTCGAGGGACCTCAAATATTTGTACAAAAAAGAAAATTGAAGTCAGATTTTGTAATAAGCATTGTTTTACAAATCAACAAAATATACTTCACTGTTTATTTTGTGTAGTATTTCATTAATTTTTTTTCTAAGAATTAACATAAGAACTTTTTAAAAAAAAAGATTTTTAATGAAATGGGTATAAAAATTTAATTAAACTTAGTTATAAAACAGAAGACTAGTGAAACCTTACGTCTTTTTCTTCCAATATCCGTATTAAATCAGAGTCATAGTCTGATTTAATTCTTTTCATGATTGACTTCTAAAATTTTGAAGGGTTGGTAAGGGGCCTTACAGAGTTCAGCTTAGGACTTCGAAATGCTGAAATCCAGCCCTGTGTCCTACACAAAATTACTGGCATTTTAAACTTTAAAAAAATGTTTTAAAATTGACAGCATAACTTGTTCGTGTAAAGCTGGACAATCGGGAAACTGCCATTTCTTAACAGTCTAATCCACTCGTTCAGAATTCTTAACAGTCTAATCCACTCTTTCAGAATTCAGAGCTCATAAATATAACCGTTCAATTTCCGAATAATCATCTGTTTTTCCCGTTTTTCGTGTGGGAATAGACGAAAACTTATATTAGGCTCTCGTAAGGCTTTGAAATTGCAATTTGTAACCAACAGTAAGCGTTGCTTTTTCTATCGCTTTTCATCTTTACTGCTGTTAATACACAAGAATTAATCAAACGACCCAGATAGAATAGTTTTGTTTTTAAACACCAGAGGGCAATAATTTACCAGAGGGCACCAGAGGTCAATAAATAACCAGAGGGCACCAGAGGACAAAATGCGAATAATGCAATAATTCCAAATTCGTGTTTTTCCTAGTTTTGGGATATAATACATAAATGGAATAAACGAGAGTGAGCCTTTTCTTTCACAATTTTAGTACTTTATAAAAACCTATTTAACGTTTAATNAAATAACCAGAGGGCACCAGAGGACAAAATGCGAATAATGCAATAATTCCAAATTCGTGTTTTTCCTAGTTTTGGGATATAATACATAAATGGAATAAACGAGAGTGAGCCTTTTCTTTCACAATTTTAGTACTTTATAAAAACCTATTTAACGTTTAATTACAAGATAAAAATTTTGAATAAAAATCGACCTATAAATAACTACCGATTATAATAAACTTACGATACGTAAAAAATAATTATTATCACAGTGATAATAAATTATTTTTCGAATTAAACCAGAGTCTGTATGTACAGTAAGTACATACACACATGCATATGTTGTATATATTTAGATATTTAAAAGTAATTCATTATACATATATTTATACAAAAAATTTTTAATGCACAAATTTCTCATTAAAATAATAAGTTTATCTAGTAATATTTTTAGTATTTTCTGTTTTCCCAAATATCATTAGAATATCAACATTTTATTTTTACGTTCTTACGTTATATTATATCACAATTTTTTAAACTTAGTGCCAATAAACAATTTAAAATAGAAGATTAAGAATAGAAATTCCCAATTTGAATTAAGTTGTTTTGTTGATTCTAAGTAGGTATCCTGCCTTTTCAGGAGAAGACAGTTATGACTCCCGTGAGATTCGTTATTCTATCAACGCTTTTAAAATGTCACCGGTGATGACATTTTAAAAGCATCGATTATCACTTTACACGTGTTTTGTTAAAATTGAATAAATTTGTGATTATTTGTAATAAAGGTTTATCTCCTTATCATGAAATATTTATTTTTTTCCATGACATATTTTTAATATTAATATGATAATTTACAGAATGTATTTTTAATTGGCTAATTCATTACCACTGCTCATAAATAAAGTCCACACTGGGAAGATGAATTAGAGGTGGTTATGCCAAATCGGACAAAATCAGTCAGGGGGTAAATAAGTGATTAAATTTCAATGGACGTCCATTTTATTTGATTAAATTTTATACAATCGACTTATTTCATTACTCATACAGTGATAAAGCTTTTTGAATTAATTGACTTTTATTCGATGTCAGAAATGGGTAGAGAGTTAAGCCCTATTATTCTCTATGTAGATCTGTCAATGCAACTGACAAGCATTGAAGGAGTAATTACAGTCTCGTGGGAGCCATACCTGTCTACACCAGAAAAGGCTAATTACATGTGAATACCAATTAAAATGTAATTAAAGTACAATAATAACAATACGAATTGTCACGCATTAATCCTTTAAAAATTATAACAAATATTACTGTTTAAAAAATCGCGATGTAATACTGTATAATGTAAAGTCAGAATTAAACTATTGATATTCTAATGGTATTTAAAATAAAAAAATTAAACATATTACTACATAAACTGAGAGAAATTTATACATTAAATGTGTATAGATATAAAATTAATAAGTTTTAAATACCTACATATGTACAAACATACGTGTATGTATCCTAAAAAATACTTTTTTCTTAAGGTCCCTAGACAAAAATATAAAATTCTTGAAGTTATTTTTTTACCGAATGCTATACATTTTCTTTTTTTTATATATAACAACGGAAAAAGTAAAAATTGTATTTTAGAATTCAAATTATATATGTTCTGAAAAATTATGCTTTTTCTATTTGCAAAATAAAAAAAAAATTGATTCATACATCCGCATACGTCTACTGTACTATCAGTTGCATAAAAGTTTTTTCATTTGTTGAGTACTGTTATTCTTAACTATGACGAACCGATATTCATAAATGAGTATGTTACTGTGAATGACCGATATCTAGCGAATGTCAACATTTTCCGGTGAATGTTAGCATTCACACAGTCGTTTCGTGCATGTACGAAATATTTGCTAAATATTATTATATCTCACTTACACCGGCAAATGTCGACATTCGGCATGTGCTGATGGTGAATGTTGAATAAAAATATTTTTATTACGTTAAGACAAAAATGCAACATTTTAACATGTGAAAATAGGAGAAAGCTTAAATAACAGCAAATTTAAATAAACCGTTGATCCTAAAACGAACAGTACATTCTTAATCATTAAAGAAAATAATACAATAATAAACTTACACATACAGTAGAGCTTCGATTATCCGACCCAATTGGGGACTGGGGTTGGTCGGATAATTGAAAAGTCGGATAACCGAAAAGTATGAAAAAATCCATTATTAGTGTAGTATATTATTATATCCCATGTAATTAGTATATTAGTATATTAGTATATCGCTATTAACCTATTTTGCGTTGAATTTTCATCGATGTTAAGCCTAACAAAAATTTTTTAAAATAATAATCGTCGCTATTGTATNTATATTATTGTAATAAAAGTTTATCTCTTTATCACGAAACAGCTATTTTTCCCACTATATATTTTTAATAGTAATATGATAATTTACAGAATGTATTTTTCATTGACTAATTCATTAAGACTGTTCATAAATAAAGTTCACACTGGAAGAAAGAGATAGAGATGCTTAAGCCAAATCGGACAAAGTCAAACAGAGGCCAAAGGAGTAATTGAACTTAAATGGACGTCCATTTTATTTGATTAAATTTTATGCAATCGACGCATTTCGTTATTCATACAGTGATAAAACTTTTTATGAATTGATTGAGTTTTATTTCATGTCGAAAATGGGTAGGGAGTTAAGCTGTATTATTCCCTATGTACAGTATTCTGTCAATGCAACTGACAAGCATTGAAAAAGTAATTACAGTCTCGTGAAAGCCATACCTATCTACACCTAATAAGGCTAATTGCATGTAAATATCAATTAAAATGTAATTAAAGTAGAATATTAATAATACGAATTTTTACGCATTTATCATCTAAAGATTATAACAAAATATTACTATTTAAAAGTCGCGATGCAATACTGTAAAATGTAAAAAGACAGAAATAAACTATCGATATTGTAATGATATTTAAAATATTAAAAAAAAATTAAACGTATTACAACATAGACTGAGAGAAATTTATACATTAAATGTGTATACATATAAAATTAATAAGTTTTAAATATCTACATATGTACAAATATACATGTGTGTATGTTGGTTTATCCTTAAAACTATTCTTTTATTTTAAGGCCCCTATAACAAGAATATTAAATTCTTGGGGTTATTCGATCGCTATACATTTTCTCTTTTATATATATAACAACGGAAAAAGTAAAAATTGTATTTTAAAATTCAAATTATATATGTTCTGAAAAATTATGCTTTTTCTATTTGCAAAATAAAAAAAAAATTGATTCATACATCCCTAGACAAAAATATAAAATTCTTGAAGTTATTTTTTTACCGAATGCTATACATTTTCTTTTTTTTATATATAACAACGGAAAAAGTAAAAATTGTATTTTAGAATTCAAATTATATATGTTCTGAAAAATTATGCTTTTTCTATTTGCAAAATAAAAAAAAAATTGATTCATACATCCGCATACGTCTACTGTACTATCAGTTGCATAAAAGTTTTTTCATTTGTTGAGTACTGTTATTCTTAACTATGACGAACCGATATTCATAAATGAGTATGTTACTGTGAATGACCGATATCTAGCGAATGTCAACATTTTCCGGTGAATGTTAGCATTCACACAGTCGTTTCGTGCATGTACGAAATATTTGCTAAATATTATTATATCTCACTTACACCGGCAAATGTCGACATTCGGCATGTGCTGATGGTGAATGTTGAATAAAAATATTTTTATTACGTTAAGACAAAAATGCAACATTTTAACATGTGAAAATAGGAGAAAGCTTAAATAACAGCAAATTTAAATAAACCGTTGATCCTAAAACGAACAGTACATTCTTAATCATTAAAGAAAATAATACAATAATAAACTTACACATACAGTAGAGCTTCGATTATCCGACCCAATTGGGGACTGGGGTTGGTCGGATAATTGAAAAGTCGGATAACCGAAAAGTATGAAAAAATCCATTATTAGTGTAGTATATTATTATATCCCATGTAATTAGTATATTAGTATATCGCTATTAACCTATTTTGCGTTGAATTTTCATCGATGTTAAGCCTAACAAAAATTTTTTAAAATAATAATCGTCGCTATTGTA